ATTTTAGTTCATCAAATAAACATGATTTATGTATAAAATTTACAATATACGGTTTGACAAGTTCGTAATCAAGAGACTGTGAGGTCCATGAATGACAAGACTTGACGTAAGTCTGCCAATGTTGCACGAGTCCCAGACATCGCTTCACAACTTCGGATTGGAGGGGTTGAGCCAGGCAGTTTAGCATAACAGTGGGGCCCCTAATAATATACTCTTAAAATGCTGGTTTGTTGGTTAATAGTGGAAAGTGAAAAAACACGAGGAGGGGAGAAGCCAAACTACAAAAAAAGGGTACTGCACAGGTATGAGGTGCAGTACGAAAGAACTAGAGTGGATAGATAGTGAGCGCTGGGAGGCAGAGAAGTTAGTACAAAGTGGCAACAGAAAGAATGGGAAGACCAGAGTGAGACAATGGTTTGTCCAGAAGTGTGGAGTGGCCAAAGCCAAGTGTGATAGAGCATGGAAAAAGGTATAGAAGGCAAAGAACACAGGAAAACAAGGAGTTTAGCCGAAGAGCCAGAAACGAATATGCTTTGATAATAAGAGAGGCTCACGGCAATTCGAGAATGACATAGCATCAAAAGCTAAATCTGATCCCAAGTTGTTATAGAGTTACACTAGGAGGAAACAACAGTCAAGGAGCAGGTAATCAGGCTGATGAAGGAAGGAGGGAAGCTCACAAGGAGCAACAAGGAAACACATGAATAGCTCAGCACAAGATTTAGGAGGTATTCAGAGTGGAGACAGGAAGGCTTCCAGCAAACATACTCGGTAAGGTGTACCAGCAGACACACAGCACACAATTGAGGAAGGTCAAGAAACTGATAGGTGAACTAGTTACCCCAAAGGCGGTGAGCCAAGTTAACATTTCTCCATAGGTCCTGAGAGAGGGAGCAGATGCACTGTGTGTGCTACTTACAATCGTCAATATATCTTTCGAATCAGGGCAACTGCTTGAGGTGTTGAAGACAGCAAGCATAGTTCCAATTTTTAAGAAAAAAGATAGACAGGCAGAATTAGACTATAGATCAGTGTCGCTGACATGTATAATATGTAAAGTCACGGTGAAGATTATCAGAAGAGTGGTGGAGCACCAAGAGAGAAAGTCTCATACATGACAAGCAGCATGGCTTCAAAGATGAGAAATCCTGCATCACGGATCTACTGAAGTTCTACTACATGGTAACAGAAGTAAGACAAGAGGGAGAGAGAGAGAGAGAGGAGAGAGAGAGAGAGAGAGAGAGAGAGAGAGAGAGAGAGAGAGAGAGAGAGAGAGAGAGAGAGAGAGATAGGTATACAGCATATTCTTGGGCAGTAAGAAGGCTTTCTACACAGTACTGCATAAGAGACTGGTTCAAAAGGTAGAAGAGTAGGCAGAAATAGCAGGGAAAGCCCTGCAATGGAACAGGAATAACTGAGAGGAAGGAAACAACAAGTGTTGGTACGTGTTGAGGAGTCAGGGTGGGCCCATGTGTCGAGTTTGCTTCCAAAAGGCTCAGTCCTAGGTCCGGTGCTGTTTCTTGTATATGTAAACGACATGACTGATGGGATAGATTCAGAGGTGTTCCTGTTTGCACACAATGTGAAACTAAAGAGGAGAATACAAGCGAACGAGGATCATGTAAGACTACAAGGAGTTTTAGATAGGCTGCAAGTTTGGTCCGACAAATAGCTTCTGGAGTTTAACCCCACCAAAAGTAAAGTCATGAAGCTTGGGATAGGACAAATAAGACCGCAGATGGAGTACTGGCTAGGTACTTCTTCGGCCTTAGACTTCTCAGTGTGTGGAACAATCTGGAGATTGTAACAGAGGAGGTAGGATCCATGCATAGCTTTAAGAAGAGGTACGATAAGGCTCTTGGAGCAGGGAAAGAGTGGACCTAGTAACGACTAGCGAAGAGGCAAGGTCAGGAGCTGTGGTTCATCAACTGCAACCACATATAGATGAGCACACACACACGTGTACTCGGTAGGTCAAAGCATCTTCAAGCAACGTAGGGATATTTCATGGCACCAGGCGGGAGTACGGGCGCCCAGTGGTCATACGTCTCGATATATTCTATGAATAGTCATACAAACGTAAAGTAAGTTAACCAGAGCCACAGAGGTGAAGTGACAGTAAAAAATTAAGTTTCTTTTTGAAAGTGACTGGTGGGGGTATATGTCGAGGTTCCGGTGCCATGGGTACTGGGTGTTGACAAAAGTGGATAACAACATCAGTTCTTTAAATGAGTGAGAGTGAAATCACAAGTTCAGGGAATAGGTGTAATAACAGGCAGAGTGAAGAGATGTGCAGTGATTAACTTTGATATGCGAGTGCTTGAGAAGAGTGGACAACAAATTACAGTGTAAACGACACGTATACAGTTCGACAGCCAGGAGAGTGTTCAGCAGCACTATGACGCTGAGACGACCTCCTGATAAACATTACTCACCAAATGTGGTTCTAAGGCTTGTCTTGTTTTTTCTTGGTGCTTGGCCTTTAACAGGCTGTGAAATATTACTGTCTCCACACATTTGTGAGCCAGGTAGGCAAGGTAAGTAGAATGATTTACATGACAAAGAGAGATTGATTTTCTGGTTCTTATAGGAACATATGTAGTTAGTAAGAGGTTTCAGAGGCACATAAAAGATTCTGTAAGTATTACAATACACAAAAGAACAAAACAGTACATGACAGCTGGGAAGAAGTCTCTCTCTCTCTCTCTCTCTCTCTCTCTCTCTCTCTCTCTCTCTCTCTCTCTCTCTCTCTCTCTCTCTCTCTCTCTCTCTCTCTCTCTCTTTCTCTCTCTTACTCACTCACTTTTCTCTCTCTTTTTATCCTCTTTCCCTTTTTTTATACAGGGTTTTGTATGGTTACTTTTAGGGCTCATAACTTTATTTACAAGCTAAAAGCTGTTACCTAAATCAACACATTTGTAAGCCTTTTTACACAGTGATATACATGTAGAGAAGAGGATAAAGTTGGATCTATCTGCAGGCCAGCAATTTCATTTGGTCATCTGATATTATTTCGTTGATGTAATTATGCTGTACGAACATGATCCAGACTCGAGTCATCTTGGGAAAAAATGCTCTCAGATGTAGTGATGTTTCAATGATTGGGACAGTCAGAGTGAAGTTGCTGCTTTCTGCCCGTCTTGTGGTGTAGAAGCTGACTTCTCGCTGTCCTCAGAGTGCAGCCAATTGTGGTATTTTGACAATGTTGGCCTTGTACATAACAGTAAGGCCACCCTTATCCCTCCTGTGTTGAAGGCTCTGTTGAAATGACAGATCTATCCAGGCTGGGTCCAGACGAGAGATGAGCTATTTTACTCTGTTCTCTGTTCTGTCAAGAAATTCCATATGAGATGGAGGAAAGGTAGTCCAAGAAAGTGAAGCATATTCAAGGTGTCAATTTATCTGGACCTCATACAGAATCTTGCAGCCTATACTATCGAGCAGATGCGAGATAGGTCTAAGTGCTGTAAGCTTCGTGGCTGCTTTGTTTGCAAGATTTACATCGTGGTTCTTCATGGTCAGTTTGAAGTCAAATTTCACCCCAATGATGTCAATTTCATCCCCGGGTACCAATACTCCCATTTAATCTTACTACTGCTCCAGCACTGCCATCTTCATTACTGTTTTCTCAGGAGGAAATGTGATCGTTTTCCCAAAGTTACATCAATCACCAGCTTATGGCTGGTGATTGGTGTGACTTAGCTGCTTGTATTTCCTGTCTTGCATAAGTAAATATAAGAGTACAGTCGTCTTCATATGTATGGGATTGTGGGATGAGATGAATATCATTGAAGTAGACATTCCATAACAATGGCCAAAGCACATTTCCATGTGGAACACTTGCAACAATAGAGTCTCTTGTTGACTGTCCCGTTGAGAACTACTTTTAGAGATCTACCTTGACGGTAATTATTGAGGAGGCACAGTGCAGAGTCGGCGATTCCTAGTGCTTGCAGTTTTGCCAAGAGTCCCTGGTGCCATACTCTGTAGAAAGCACCAGCAATGTTCAGTGCTAATAACAGATGACTTTGAATTTATCCAGTTACTGGTGCAACTTAGTGGAGAGGTTTAACAGCAGATCAGCAGCAGGTGATGTTTTCTGAAGCCATACTGGTCACAAAGAAGAGTGGTACTCAAACAACGCTGTTATATGTCGTGAGATTCATGTCACAAAAATCTTGCCAGTGATTGACAGGCGTGACACTGGCTCTAGTTGCTGATTTCCACTCTGCTCTTCTTTTTGTGAACAGGGACTACGCTGAACGTCTTTCAACAGAATTGGCCATTTACACTGTGCTAGGCAGTGCTGATAGATGCGAGTTAGAGTTACTGCTAGCTGGTCTGCACATCTCAGCAGATTTGGATTCAACTTCAACAGCCTTTTCCTTTGTTAGAGGAAGAAAATAAGTACGACAGGGCTCATTCGCCTAATTGTAGGAACAATTAGGCGAGTGCAATTAGGTGACTTCCAGCTGCACTAACTCATTTGATTCAACACTCACCTGCACCAACACACCTGGCTCAACACTCACCTACCCCATAACACCTGGTTCAACACTCACCTGGATCAACACACTTGGTTGACATTCATCAGCACCAACACACCTAGTTCAACACTCTCCTACTCAACACACCTTTCTCAACACTCACCTACTCAACACACCTGGCTCAACACTCACCTTCTCAACACACCTGGCTTAACGCTCACCTACTCAACACACCTGGCTCAACACTCACCTACTCAACACAACTGGCTCAACACTCACCTAGTCAACACACCTGGTTCAATACTCACCTACTCAACACACCTGGCTCAACACTCACCTACTCAACACACCTGACTCAACACTCACCTACTCACCACACCTGGCTCAACGCTCACCTATTCAACACACCTGGCTCAACACTCACCTATTCAACACACCTGGATCAAAACTCACCTACACCATCATACCTGGTACAACACTCCAATCTTAAAGCACATCTTGTTGAACACTAACCTGTACCAACGTGGCAGCAACACCACGGCGACAATAGTCGGGATGCACACAGAGACGCGTCATCTGCTGGACGCTATCCACTCCAGGCTCCAGGAAATCGTCCACAAGATCCGCCATAATTTTATCAACTTGCCACACCTTTAGCTGGTGAAATGATTATTACTGTATAATATGGTTATAAATGTTTTGGATATTACATGGGCTACGTGGTATGTGGGAATGTCGAGTATAAATGTATCAAACTTTCGTATTGATCTTTAGAACAAAGTTCTCTCATTCTCCAGTGAGAGTATAATTGGCTTTTAGAAAATTGTTTTAAGGGAACCACTGTCATATTAAAAAAAACATGCGTATTTTCTTCGTTATCCTTATAGACTATGATCTTTTCTCCTCAGTTACAAGATTTTTCGTTCAAGTCTGCCAATTTTCAAGAAGGCGATGTGTCACCTACCTGAAGACGACGGCGATACAAGTCTTTCAGTATTCAGAAACTGAATTTATAAAATCTTGATGCAAATTATGAAAAATATGCTTAATTATATTAGATAGTGCATATATACTTTATCCAAAGATACAATGATCATGACCTGAGATCAGTGTTCAAGGAAGGCTGTGTTGAAACTTGAGTGTCTGCTAACATATGTTGCTTAATAAGCTTCGAGGAGCGTTGACGTGTGTCAGAAAGGGAGATAAGAAGGAGGATTGTCCATTTCTCAGGTAGGAGGATAAAAATTCAAAATTTATCTGGACTAGGAGGATAAAATTAAAGTATGAAGAAATGTTGTTTACACAGGAAAACATGATAGTAGCAACGAAGAGAAACATGTTTCTAGTACCGAATGGAAAGAAGTTTCCTGAAAAGGGAAGTGGATAAGATTGAGGGAAGCTGAAGAAGCATGTCTGAAGAAAGGAAACAGCTTTCGTCTTCTTTGGGATGAGTATATAGTTGCTGATAATGGGACAGGAAGGACATGTGCATCTATAAGTAAATATATACTGTAGTAAAGTAATTGCTTAAGATTTCTAAATTAGTATACTGAGAAAACACTTCAAGAGAGTTATGAAAACGAGAGTGTATTTCAATGTGCCTGATTTGTCTGATATAATTAACATACTAGATAATAAAATGACGAATTAGACACGTGCAACACCTGGCTACCTTTAATTTGAAGACGTTTCGCCATCCAGTGGCTTTATCAATTGAATACAATGACATAATGTGAAGATTGTTGAAGGATATACAAAAGACTTGCCTACTTTTGGCCCATCCCTTGGGTATGACCATTGACCTACTGCCACCGGGAAATCCCACTTATCTGTGATAATGCCTACTTCTGCTGCACCTACTTCTGCTGCACCTACCTCATATATATGCGTGAATCTTTCTGTCTGTGCTTCAGATTCTTAAAGACTAAGGTGCTCATCACCTCCTCGACTGAGGGACTGATTACCTTGACTTATGTATATACTTCTCCAGTCTTCACATTATGATAAAGTCACTGGATGGCGATACATCTTCAAAGTAAAGATACCCAGGAATCGCACATATGTCTAAATCTTCATGTCAGGTAACGAGAAAATTACCGTTATTGCCTTAGTCCTGGAGGCAATGATTTTGAGAGATGCTTGCCAAGTACTGGACAATTACTGTTTTAAGTCAAAGACAGGAATCCTGAAGATATGAAGCACTTCGCAAAAAGGTGGCATGGCACGTGAGTAGATATCTAGTTCAACTGTCATGAATTGATAGTAAATTCGCAATTCCATTCACTTCCATTGAGATAATTTCTAAGGAAAATATATCACAAGTATAAGTGGGTTGCGGCTTCATATATCAGCGATGATAACATTAGCGAGTTCTGGCGAGGATGTATGAAGATGAGTCCGTTGTGATACTAGGAACTGGAGAACAAAAATTACTAAGACGGTGTATAGAAATGCCCTGAAAAGAGTTTGTTCAAACTGTACGATAGAAACCTGGATGGTAACCACTTAGAAAACAATGAAAGTGGCATTCAAACAAAGAGAGACCAAGAAGACAGGCAACATGAAAAGAAATTTAATGAATAAATAGCGAGAGCAAAAAAATTATATAATTAATGAATAAATAGCAAGAGTAAAGAAATTATATAATTAATGAATAAATAGCAAGAGTAAAGAAATTATATAATTAATGAATAAATAGCAAGGGTAAAGAAATTATATAACGCAAATAAAGCTAAATACATGTGCAAAAAACAAATATTATTGCAATAATAGACAAGTGAGTAAGAGGAAGGCATAAAATACCAACAAGTTGCAAACCAAAGGCACAAAGACAGAATGGGCCCATTATGAAGACAATATTTTGTTTTGAAAGCGATATTTTTTCAAAGTCATAACATGCACTTGTTTGTCTTGGGAATATATACAGGATGAACATCACAGGGAGGTAATTATAAACTGAGCCGATGAATATCCATACTGATAAAGTCGTTCAGTTTGACGAGCGTAGGTTTGAGCATGCTATATTTTTGTCATGTTGTCTGTAATGTACATTTGTGTTGCTATTGTCCTCTGATTATGTTTTTTTAATAGCCATTAGAAAGTGGAGATGTTATTTTACTGTTAATCCTCAGATGAGCATAACTTGTGTTTCTGTTCCAAATTCTACTTAATTATTTGCTGTACGGAAGGTGTCACTGGGAACAAGATGTTAGCTGGGATTCCGGAGTGCGCAAAATTTGTCTAGCACTGTGTCATGTAGTCCATGGTAGTTCCAGGAAAGTTTTCAGTAATCTGTGTACTAAATCAATGATCCTGAGGTCAATAAAGACCTTGGAAAAGTGTTCACAAATCACCTAGCTTAAATGTCTCATGGAAACACATCAGTAATGATGAACTTCAGATCCATGATTTTTATGTTGAAAAGTGTTTGATATTTAGGAGCGAACTATCATTGACAACTGGGGTAACCTGACGAGGGATAATCAAGAAGGAGAATTCATCATCCTGTGAAGTCGTGCTAAGTGGCTTCTAAGTGCTAGTATTATTGTAGCGTTAAAGATGTGATGAGATTTGAGCTGCTGTGCCTTTGAAATAAAAACTAAGAAGATACAATTTCAAAGACAGAGAAAGAAATTGCTGAGTTCTGTTCAAGAAAAAATATAATAATGAACAGAGTGGAAACAAATTAAAGACTGGAAGTGAAGATGAACAGGAATGAAAATGATTGGACATACTGCTGGCTAGATCAACAAATCCTGTGATTTAATGCTGAACGTTTTAATCACCGAGTGACGCAAGGAACAACACTAGTGAAGGTAATATTTTCTGTTTTGTATTTTCATAGTAAATTTGTAGAAAGAGCTTTTAATAACAAGGATAGAAAAATGAGGGAAATGGAAACATTATGAATGGTAATTCGAGCAACACTATTTTCAACCTCGTTACTAACGGAAATGATGTTGGGAACTTGAAATGACAAGACCTTCTTACCTGGTATAGGGAAGTGATAGTTATAATTAAGATGAACAGAGGGATCTCCATCATAAGCATTTTTCTATTTAAGGACAACTGGCATTAATTGCTGGCATGGCAAGCACTGCAAGGAAATTGTCGAACAACCATTTGTTGTCATCTGGGATCTCTGTTATGGCAGGAGTAACATGTATGCCACATGTCAAGATAGAGCGCATATATCTACAGCAGTGGTGGCAGTATTAGCTGGCTCAGTGGAGGAGTCAGTTGCTGCAATGTATCGGGCTTTTATCTGAAAAAAGTTTGCACTATTGGAATGTGTGTGAAAAAAAAGTTGCATTAAACATTTCGTCTATAACATTTATGAAAACTGTTGTACTTTTTATTTCAGAAATTACAGTTATTAGGGAGCACAATAAAACTTTTAATATCACGACAGATTAAAACAAAAATATATGTAAAGGCGAAAATGAACACAGAGAACATAGAGCATGTGATTCGTAGCGAGTGTTGTGGAAATAAAGCAGAGCTTGATGAAAGATACAGGAGTTAAGATTAATTGCAAATGCATGAAACATCGCTTTTATTGCAATAATTTAGACCTAGTTGAATTTGAAGAGTCGGGATATGCTAACCGAAAGCCACATTAGAGGATTTAAATTATTACATTTATTTTGAAATAAGACAGAGTGAGATGTTACTATGCATAAAAGAAAAAATGAAAGCTAATGTATCAAACGGAGTATCCGTCTACCTGGGTAGAATTTCTAGGACATGACAAACTTATTTTAGAAGTGTTATGCCACCCAAGAATTTTGAAAGAAGCGCAAAATTGGTTAAACTTCATATAAATTAAGTAATTTTTGGAGATTTTCTTCAGCCAAATTTACTGGAACTCTATAACTGGAAAGATAGAATCCAGCGGCTTCCTTAAGGTTCTCTTTCTTTTTTTAAAACAGTTTCTTATAAAATTAAGAAGAAGACCCTCAGAAAAACCGAAAGATATAAGAGCTTCGTATAATTCATCATACATCTATAATAATTAATACTGCATAGAATTACTATAATACGAATATTGAAAGAAACTTCACAGGTTATCGTTTTTCTGAATACATTCTACACGGAGAATATTTACAAAGTGAGAGTGGCTAACTTGACTAATGATTATATCAATGAACACTTCACAAAAATTAACAAAGACAGCTGCCAATTTTATATTATTCAAAACAGTGCATAAGTTGCCCAAGAAATATATAAGGACAAATAAAAATGATTTGAAATAGATAAACAGAAGACTAAAACGTTTTTAAGAAGATTCATGAATTTATCAGCGCATCAGGAGAAATTAAAGTTATAAGAGAATTCCAGAAAAAATGAAAGGTTTCTTTCAGATTATTAAGACAAAGATTTAGAAAAAATTTCTCTCACTTCAAACTTACTCTTGGTACCATATTGATAGTGAGAAAGATATGCTTCCAATTTTAACAATTGCATAATATTTTTCAACATAAAAAATACTAATGAAATCCAAGTAACTTATAATTTTTGAAGCCCTGAGGAAAAATATTTCGTAAGAGTCACTAGAGATATAGTCGGGGAGTTGCCCAGTTTCAAATTATGTGTTGAAGATCTTTGTTAATGGCACACACAGTATCTCTGCTCCCTCTTTAAAGACCCACGGAGAG